GGGAATATATCAAATACAGCTCAGAAATATCTTTGCCAAATTTTGTCGTGATCGGTTCAGATTTGGATGTAGCTCCCATATATATCTTTATCTGAATTATATTTATAAATTATAATTATGATCATAGCGTGTATGATTGAATTCTCCCATAAAAACTTTTAATTGTTACGTGGAGCTCTACTAAATTAGCAAAGTGATGTAGGGTATTAAAAAGTCGGCCCCGCCCAACTTTAGGACTTTCTTTATCGTTTTTTTTTTTTTTTTTTTTTTTTTGGAAAATTGATGCAAATTGTTGTTTGAAATATGTCTTTGTCTTCGACGTCATCCTTCTAAAATGTTGTTTTGTTGACGATTTTAGAATAAACTCATACAAGAAATCCTAATCCGAAAATTTCAAAAACTGTAGAAGATGGTAGGACCTTTCTCCTCCATATAGGTTGCTTTGCAATGTAAACTTTCAAAAGCCAAAATATGTGTCTTCTATTTCTAGCTCTACTTTCACAATCTGCTGGACTTTCGCCGTAATTATTTTTTTTCGTTGATAAGAGTTGTAGTTCGTATTTATTTTCTCCCTTAGTTAGTCACTTATTAAATTTTTCATTTATTTATAAGTTTATTTATATATTTTAATTGATTTGTTAATGCATTTATTATTTTGTTTAACGGTTAACAAATTCTTGGAATTGAAACAGATTCCTATTTTTTTTTTTATATACAAAAAAAAAATTCTTAAATACCAAGTAACCCCGAAATTATAAACCCTCTTTTCAATAACATTTACCCTTTTCATCAATTTGTCATCGCCAAGTTCATCAAAATCTTCCCCCTACCCGGTCTTTAAATTAAATTTCCCAAAAATATTTAACCAATTTTAATAAAGTAGTTATTTACGAAACATAACCTGAGAACAGAATATTTCAAATTGTATTTTGGCACGCAACTTGTAGTAAATATTTGCCCTAATTTTGCTGTTTGGTATATTCCTTTTTGGATTTTCTTCCACAAATTATTTGGGGCACCTGCCAAGGTACATACGTACGTTCGTTCACCTTATGGTGTTGTTGTTTTCCCAATAGGTGAACATAATCTTGAAACACTTCCTTTCTCCAACATATTTTGCAAGATTATTAAATTTGTTGGGTTTATTAAAGATATTTTTTTTTTTTTGGTGAAACGTTTGCATTATCATGGAAGCATTTATTTTTGGTTGAGAATAAGATTATAGGGTCATAATTTAAGGTGGCATTGTAATGGAACTTTTGGTAAAGGGTATTTTTAAATTTAATGTTGTCTTTTGTAAGGTAAAATTTAATTTTTTTTTAAATTAATTGCATTTTTAAGAGTTTTTTTCCATTTTTTGTTAATAGAAGACTACTTAATGTAATCTTACGTAATGCTTGAGAGTCAATTTCACACAATTTATATTTTATGACAATTAATTTGATAAATTTAGTCAAACGATTTTTTACAGTAGCGTTTATTTAGGGCATCTAGGTATTTCTAATGAATGTCATCAAACGTTAATGCTCTGTTCCAGAGCCTGCTGGAATGTGGAAGTATAGCTATGATAACCAATTTTCCTGTAAGAAATACAAATCTAATCGATTTTTTACAGTTCTAAAACAGAGGATAATTCTACAATATTTCCGTCGAAATCTTGCAAAACAGGACTGCTCCTTTATAGAGAATCATAAACAAATTTGAAACAATTATCAATTTTTTACATATTATTAAAATTGAGATATGATAGAACAATTTTACATGTATTGGCTGAAAAATACGTTTTATGTCGTCAAAATATCTAAAACTGGTGTTAGCCTTTTATAGGGTCAAAGTTAAAAAGTTGCCATATCTTCCAGATATTAAAAAAATGAACAAATCTCACACATCATTCGGTCGAACACAATTGTTGAATTGATTGTCAAAAATATCACTCTTCATCTAATTTCTTAATCTGAATTATTTCAGCGTTACGTCCAATACCCGACATTTCAGTGAAGATCGGAAACGCATTAGTAATTTTTTTTTAACAAATCTTTGCGAATAAAATATAAATACAAGAAGAATTTGGTTTCAAACTTTAATGTCAATTTTAAAATATTGCCCATATATTGTGTAATATTCTCTATATTTTGCGAGAGAAATTGAAACAATTAGAAAGTGCCAAAACTTCGGAATTTGGTTAGTAATTCAGATTTAAATTCACTAGTTAAAAATTAGTAGCATGAGAATATTTTGAAGTTTGAGTTAGGTTTTAGTTTACGATTTTTTAATCTCAATTTTTTTACTATGTGGTATGCCGAAAATAATTTTTTGACTAGCGATCTAGCTATGTGCTTCGGTGAGTCCGTGTATGGTATTTTGAAATCAATGTACAGGTCACATTATGACTCGATTCTGACGAACTTTTCTCTCCGAGTCAGGGTTAGCGTCAGAATAAAATGCTAAAATTTCTGGAGATGGTCGAGGGAAATATAGGAATAAAATGGACAAAAAACATCGGCGTATAAGTTTTTTTTTTTTTTTTCTCTTCAACACTTTTAGAATTTTCCGATTATATTTTATGCCATGTTTTCAGCAATACTGAAGATAAAAATACGAGAAATATTTAATTTTGAGTCAAATGAAAATTTATTATAAAAATTTGAACCCTCAAGCTAGTCAAAAAAGAGTTACTTTTGGTCCTCTTTAAATAAAAATATGGTTAAAAGGTCAAAAAAGTCAAAATATTCAACAAAATTAAAATTCAAAAAAGTCAAAATATTCAACAAAATTATTTGTCATAAAATTCTAGGTTCTGGAAGATGTCAACTTTCTAAACCTTACTTCAACGTTAGGAATTCCATATATATATAAAAAAAGCATTTAAAAACCTCCAAATTCCATTCCATTTTCTTCATCATATACAGAAACGTAGTCACATGGACGGCTTAGATGTGTACAAATCATGTTTTGATGACAGCTTTGCAACGACCTATAACTTCACGATACCAAATGCTTTTTTTTTTTTTAACTTGTCCCCTTTATATTTTACTGTCAACGAGCTTCGCTACCGGAGCTAGAACCCATTATGATATATAAATGCCAAATTTTTGACAAACCCGTGAATGTTGCGAAAATCATCAAAAACCGAATATCAGGAGGTACCATTATATAGCAAAACGTGGACCGATATATCTCATTCTATAAAACCAACCATCCTAGACACAATACAAATTATTTGAATCTCAACGTCACATAATGTGGGCTGTATCGTGATTTCAACAGACAGACAGGCGGACAGACCAACAGATATCGTTAAATCGACTTAGCATTTTATGCTGGTCATGAATATATATATATACTTCATGGGGTCTACGACGTATATTTAGGGATGGTATAAAAGCAATGACAAAGTTAATATACCCTCCTTTCCAAGATGGAGGTTATAAAAACGCATGCATTTCGTAGGTCGCTCGCATTTAAAAGTAACACTTTTTTTCCTCATTACTGTGGAAGATCGGAAAAATTTTTTATACCCTCCACCATAGTATGGAGGGTATATTAAGTTTGTCATTCCGTTTGTAACACCTCGAAATATACATTTGAGACCTCACAAAGTATATATATTCTTGATCAGCATAAAATTCTTTGTCGATTTATCAATGTCCGCCCGTCTGTCCGTCTGTGGAAATCACTCTAGCTTCCGAACGAAATGAAGTAGGTTAATAAAATTTTACTCAAATGTGTGCTATGTCTGCAGGACTTTTGGTATTGAAAATGGGCCATGAAGGTCCACGTCTTCGTATAGCGCCCATACAACGGTACCTCCTGATATGCGGTATTTTGATGATTTTAGCGACATTATTTACCGGAAGTGTTTCAAATTTTGTATTTGAATTTCGTAATGGACGCTACATCCTATGACAGAAAATTGTCTGTGCAGGCCCACGTCTTCGTATAGCCCCCATATAACGGTACCCCCCGATATTCGGTAATTTGATGATTTTAGCGATATTTTTCACCGGAATTGTTTCAAATTTGTTATTTGAAGTTCGTAATTGCTATTACAGCCTATGACAGAAAATTGTTTGTGCAGATCCACGTTTTATAACCACCATGGTACCTCCCTATATATTTTTTTAACAGATTTTTTTTTTAAGTTTCGCATTTGAATATTGTAATAGCTTGTGACAAAAGTTGCCTATGCAGATCCAAGTCGTCGTATAAACTCTAATATACGGCTACATTAGTTATTTTCAGGATTTTAACGGAATTTTTAACGGATTTTATTTTTTTGAAAATTATTAAATTTGTACCAAATGGCAGAGGGTATTCAAAGTTCGGCCCGCCAAACTTACAGCTTTTTTATTTATTTGGTTTTTTTTTGGTATGATACGACTTTGTATCTCTCAATTCTCTACCCCATACTGCTCTTTCTAAGATTTTTATCCTTCAGAAAACATAGCACTCAGAAAATGTATCAGCATCAAATTTAAAGTTTTACGAATTTTGCTTTGGTTTCTTAATTTGATAGGTTTACATTAAAATCATTCGTTCCAATATCATCTTCCATACTAAGGAAATATTCTTGAATTGTGATAATCGAATTTATTTAATATCAAAGTAGAATTGATAATTTTTTTCGCAATTGCCTTTTTCCTATGCATGTATCTTCATAAAAGCATACATTTTTTTTATTTTTATAAACTTAGTCCATTGGCTCCGATTTTATAAAATACGTTTACTAACTCCAGCATTTGGTCTTACTGATTTTTTTTATTTCATTAATGGTATCCCCTTCCCGTATCTATATGTTCAATTATTTTCTTGCCTTTAGTAATCCACTTAAGTAACACACAGGTAGGGATAAAAAATGGCATTCATGTAATTCATTTCCTAACAATAGCAGAAATATATAGAAAAATATCATGGTAGTATTTTTTGCAATAATTCACAAATACTGGCACAACACACACACACACACATGTAGCACAACTTACATTCTAACATATACCTACCTTGTGTATAATTCCATTTTAATAAAAATACAATGAATATAAAGCGTAGATCCATATTTGGTTGTTGTTGGTATTTTGTTGAGGTTGTTATTGTTGGTATTCGTTTTGAGTTTTTTTTTTTTGCTGTTACTGTTGTTGTTTTGGTTTGGCCAAAAGAAAAATGTAATAATCTTTTGTTATATATTTTTGTTGTGTGTGTATGTTTAACTTGAGGATAAAGATATGTCTAACCTCTAGGCTAAGGCTGTTTGCCAGCCAACCAGCCAGTCAGCCAGAAAAGATAGATATTCCTTTTGGTTTTTTTTGCAATACACTTCTACACACAGACACACACGTATACGAAAAACACACACGCTGGCACCACAAATAACAAAAAGGGAAACGGAAAAGCCAAGCCTGAACTAACAATACCGGTGTTGTGATAGCATTTTCTTGATGATGTTATGCTCTTCTTCAACTCAATTTGTTATTGTGGTTGTTTTTTTTGTTTTTACTTTATTACGATAAAACTACGTTTATATATTTTTTATTCTTTGTGGATAGCGATTGTGGTTTGGGTAGATACGATTTTCTTTTTTTGCGGTTTGGAAAATTCCACTTATTTGCGTTTGTTTTTGTTATTTTAGAGAAATATGTGTAACGATAGTATTTTGTTGGAAAGCTTGATTTATGTGTATAATTTTGGTAATAATGCCTATGTCAGGTGAATATTTTTTTTGCTTTTACATTCTAGTGGGTTTTGTTAGCATTTGATGTGAAGCAATTTATTTTTTGTTTTTTTTTCTTAAAAAATATATTTATCAACACCTTCAAGCTATGCTGTTTTATGACTTTGTTTAAATTTCAATTATTTCCTTTATGCAGATTTCACTTTTTATGGTTATTTTGGTGAGAACAATAAAAACACACATTTCCCGGCTTAACTTATGAGTTGAGGAAGTTTGTGTATGGCATTTTCGGTTTGAAGGGTCTTAACATTTGTCGATTTTATTTGTTTGTTTTTATGGCAATGGCAATTCAAAACATTTTATTGGTCTTGTTAAGTTGTTAAAGAATGCTGCAAATCACAACACTTAAGTGTGCCGCCTTGAAGGTATGCAATAAAAATGGTATATTTAAGAAATGCCTCCAAACTGTGATTTAACATGCATTCATATTTTCAGTTTAATGTAAATCCATAAAGTATGCTTTAAAATTCGTTTATCTTTAATGTACATCCTTAAAGTATGCTTGCAAAAAATTTCACTTGCAATCTTGCCAATCTTTATTCATATTTTATGTACATTTCATTAACTTGTTATGGTTGGATATCGTTATCGCTTCATGGCCCAAATCATTTCCTTGCATTTTTTCACTCCACACCTTCACTTCACTCAAAGCGTTGTAGCGGCAAGCATGCCACCCTTGTTACTTGAATTTAACTTCAATTCCTGTGTTCATTCACATTTACAACTTTAGAATAGGTACCGGGAATTCTAAATTGTTCGCTCGCTCGTTTGCTTGTTTGCTTCGTTCGTTATTTTTCGTTGTCTGCTTTGCTTTAATTTTTCATTAAAATTCCGTGTTCTTCTGGATGCGAAGAAGAAATACACTGCACTTCGTTTTCGCTGTCCGCATGGGGAAAATTGCCGTTAGAATTTTGTTTGACTGGATTCGTTAGATTGTTTTTAATGCCGCAGCTACCCTTAACGGTTACGAAAACACGCACAAACGCACACACAGCTAGTCCTTCGTGCTGCACACACACTCTCGTCTACACTCCACATCAATTCAATCACTCAATCACAAGTGTGGAGGAAAAAAATACGAACTAAAAAGACGTTTATCCGCTCGTTGTACCGTTAACGTCTATTACCAAAGCTCAACTGAATTTCAGTATCCTGGCAGGAAACTGTCCAACATACAGGAAGTCTAAAGTTATTTCGTTTGCCTGGCTGTTTCGTTCGTTTCATTTATTTTTTTGGGAGTTCAACACACCAACTCCACCAAGATATGGTGAAGTTTTCATTATCAGAGCTTTGGCTTTGCAGTGAGAGGGAGTCAAAGAAAATATAACCATGAATGAGAGTCATTTCAAGCAACAAAAGAGAACATAATTGAGAATGTGCGGGACCCAAATTTTGTTTGTGAAAGCGTTAGAAAATACTTTCTCTCGCCAACTGCAAATTTGCTTTGCTCTTCTGCAAAGTTATTCACGCCGTGAGAGAGAATATGTAAACAAAAAATACCGTTACCTTTTATTACATTTTGCTAAATCCCATTTCAAATCATATGTTTTTGCGAAAAAATGAATGAATTAAATTAAACGCTTTAGGGCTGAGTGTATGTGTGCCGGTATGTTGAGTTAAATGTCTACGTGGGAATAAATTTTGATTGATGTGCTTAGGAATTAAAAATATAATAATAATGGATTATGGAGTTAAAAATGAAATATGAAGAAACGGTTGAGGCCTTAAATTGATAAGGGTTATAAGCCCACATAAAAAAGAACTATTAGAATTTAAGTGATAAATATCATAATTACGAATATAAAAAAATATCCTTTGCAATCAGATAAGAAAAAAAAACTATTATGTCTAAATAGCAAATTCTTGCATATGAACATTATTATTAAATATAAATCTTCTGAATTTTAAACATTTTTTTAAGTCTATATAAACTGCCTTACCACCAACAACCTACTCGATGTGAATCCGATTTTTCAATACAACGAAAAAAATCCTTTTTAATTGAAGACCAAAATGTTGCATTGGTTATATTGTCAGGGGCAGAAACAAACAAAAAGTTAAAAAGCCGTAAGTTCCGAACTTTGAATACCCTCCACCATTTGGAACGAATTTGGTAATTTTCAAAAAAAAAAAAAAAATAAAAATAAATAAATAAATAAAATAAAATAAATATATAAAAATAGACATTATATTGGTGTCTATTTTTTTTTTTCAAAAAATAAAAATAGACGTTATATTGGGGTCTATATGACGTGGACCTACATAGGCATTGTTTGTTATAAGCCATTACCATCTTATAAACGGGTATAATGTAGCATCTTCAAAATACCATATATAGGGTGTTGCCGTTATATCGAAGCTATACGAAGACCTGGCCCTGCATAGACAATTTTCTGTCACAGGCTGTAGCATTCATTACGAATTTCAAATACGACATCTCAAATAATTTCGGTGAGTATTGTACCTAAAATCGTCAAAATACCGAATATAGGGAGGCCTGATATATGGTGCCTATACGAAGAATTGGACCTGCATAAAATATTTTGTGTCACAGACTGTAGTTCCCATTACGAACTCTAAATACGTAATTTGAAACTACTCCTGTGAATAATTACGCTAAAATCATCAAAATACCAAATGTAGAGAGGTACCGTTAAATGGGGGCTATACGAAGACGTGGACCTGCACAGACAATTTTAAGTCATAAGCTGTAGTATCCATAACGAACTTCAAATACCTAATTTGAAACAATTCCGGTGAAACAATTCTGGGAATAAATCTGATCTACAATTATATTGGGCTCAATAAAAAGGGGAAACCTTTTTAATCAGGCGTAAAATAAATTTTATCCAGCAGACGCACAGACAAATTAACGTGGCTAAATCGACTTAGATTATTATGATGGTCAAGAATATATTTATGGGATCTAAAAAGCTTATTTCAATGAATTACAAACGGAATGACAAATTTAGTACATATGCCCCAAAGTATGGTGGAGTGCTTACGCCCCTATTTTATGGTGCTCATTATACGCTATGCCAATATAACTATAACCTGCACCACACTGGGGTATTATGTCTTTGTGCATTTGTTTCTAACATAGAGAAGGAAGCGAGTTAGACCCATAGTTCTTGTTGATGATCTGCATAGAATTACATTCTGAGTTGATTTATGCATGTCCGTCTGTCCGTCCCTCTCTCGCATTTATTGCCCGATCGATAATATTTTTCACAAATCGTTTGTTTAGGCCAAGGACGGACCCTATTGGAATTGGACATAATCGAATAAAATTAAGATATAGCTCCGACCGATTTGAATTTTTTTGTACGCCAAATGTCGCATTTGGTGGAAATTGAGATACAGATACAGATCCCATATGTATATTTTCTCCGATTTGTTAAATTTTTCCTCCACAGCCGTAATATGCACTCCATAACAACCATACTCGGAGAAAAATATCAAATACATCTCAGAAATACTTTTGCCAAATTTTATCGAGATCGGTTGAGATTTGGATATAGGTCCCATATATTTTACTTTTTTGAAGTTCTTTACTCGATTTAAAGTTTATTGTTCACCAAATGTTTTAATATAAACCCGAATTGAATGATTTTGGCACATACGAACGAATTAATCCTGCAAGAAAGTGTATGAAATTTGGTAAAAATCGGTTAAGATATAGCTATAGATACCACACACATGTTTCAGCCGATTTTGTATTTTACTTCTTCACACCCGTAAAATACTCTCCATATTTGGTGCCAACTTTCAGATACAACAAAAGTGTAGTATCAGCTCAAATAGAATAGATTTTCATGAATTATATGCATTCAAATACGATCATATTTTATATGTTTTAGTTCCCCATAAAAGCGTTTATTTTCTATGTGTAGCTCTACTGTATATGCAAAGTGGTGTAGGGTATAATAAAGTCGGCCTAGCCCAACTTTTGCCATTCTTTGCTGACTTTCAGTATTTAAAATAATCGCGATTGAATGAAAAAAGATTTTGGTGTGTTCTGGCTTACCCCATGAAAAGTACGCGTCGATTGGATTACATTAGTCCCTTTTACAGTGACTACAAAACTAGAAAAAATAATTCTTTGGTCCACTACAATCTATAAATGTGGTGCTACAATTATAAAATTATATTTCGTAAAGATCGGACCATAATTGCGTCCTGTAGGGTGATTAAAATTTACCATGTATGGACACACATGCCGAAATCGACTCGATTATGATTATTACAATTACGATGGGTTACAAGCATAATGACGTACTTAAAAAATCCATATATGCCCATATAAACCACAATTAGTTCACCAATATATTTTCCTGGTCTTAATCGGCTAGCTACATCAAGTATCTCCGCACTAAATCATATTTGTATAATATTAGCTCTAATAAATTATGAAACGGGTAGACTATTCTCTTCAATCTTCGCACATATCTTGAACATGGGATTTCTTTGTCCACACTTTCTTAATTCTGCATTTCTTCACACTTCTTAGTTACTAATAGCTAAGGGTATAGAACTGCCAATACCGTCTGATTCGTTCAAACTTATTAGATGTTCTTTACGTCTTATTGGAAATTATATTTGCACATTAATCCAATTACAAAGTGGAATATCCGGTCTTCTTGACATTCCTCTTTCGATATATTACTTTAACACATTTTTATAATTTTTTGTTTCCCTCCCCTTCAATGTGCCGGTAATTATTAACCATATGTTTTGCCATAATTGTAACATGTGTTGCTTGTGGCCGGCACAAGTGGTGAGTCGTCGTAGATAATATTTCAACATTGCTTTATACCACACTCTCATTTGAATAAACCTCCCGCTCTTTACTCTCTAGTCTCCACGGAAATGTCTACAAAATGTGGTGTGCTTCGTTATCACTCACACTTTCTTCCTCTCTCTCTCTCTCAGACGAGATGCTCTCAATTATTCTAATAACTTCACACAGTAAATATCACAGATACTCCACCCCATCTCCCACCACACCAGGGTGTTTGTCTTTGGCTATTGCATATTTTCACACAGCTCAGCATTTGCAGCATGGAAAGAAAGCTCAAAACAAATACCCCTGGTGAGAGTGAATGAATTGCAAATAACGCTTAAAGAATTCAAGTACTTTAGCTATGGCATTTATGCCTCCTCTCCAATTGTTGTGGGTGTATTTGTGGTGCTGTTCAATGATGCAACATTGTTTTACATTGAAGGCTGAACGCACATGCACTCCAGCATTTCAGCATGTTCCCGGCTTTTCTCTATATGGAATAAAACTAACACCACGGCAGAAGTATGGCAAAGCAAACAAAAACAAAACAAAAAAAATTAAAAAAGTGGTTACAACAACAATGCACAGACAAACTTAAACTTGGACTTGCTGTGAAATCTGAGGACGGCATGGAAGTTTCACTAACTAACGATAGTTTTGCTAAAGTTGTTAGTGGGTGCTGATGTTGTTTGCTGCTCCTATGCTACTGATTTTGGTGTGAATGAAATATTGAATGGATTGTAGGATGAGGGAGTGGGTGAGCATTAAAATGGAAAATGGGAAATGCCTACGGTAGTTTGAACAAACAGTTCTTTGTTTTTGTATTTCAGCTATTATTCTATGTTACGACTATTAATTTGTCTACTACTGGGTCTGTCTCTAAAGTTCTTTATTTGAGGTTAATGTTCTATAAGCTTTAGATATTTTTCTCCTTGTTTTATACAATTTAATTTTAGGGATTAGAAGAGGTGTGATTTGGAAATTAAAGTAGACTAATGGAATGCAAGATTTTAAAGTAATTCAATGCCTTAAATTTCAGAAGAAAAAAATGGAGGTGAAAAATAAATATTTGTTGAAATCGGTAGGATTATTTTTATTAGACTTAAAAGTAATTAAGATTTGGCAATTGCGGTCTTTATACCCTACACCACATAGTGGTAAGGGTATTATGTGTTTGTGCATTTGTTTTTAACATGGAGAAGGAAACGAGATAGACCCATAGTTACTTTTGAGAACCTTCATAGAATCACTTTCTGAGTCGATTTATGCATGTCAGTCCGTCTGTCCGTCCGTCCGTCTGTCCATGTATTCTTGTGAACAAAATGCAGGTCGCATTTA